ATACATGCACTGAAAGTAATTGATGCCTTCCACACAATATTTTCAGTATTAAACAACTCTGTTTGTTCAGTAAAAGTGTAAATACACTGGTAACCTTTAATCATATTTTATATGCAAACATTACATATACAAACACTAAAGTTTTATTTCAGAATAGCCAGTAGTTTTCAAGAAATAAGTCTTTGAAATTGTACGTGTAACTTATATATATACCTACTAGTTTTTTCACCATAACAAACAACACCAATATGGCCTAGTTAGTAGTTTACCTGTGTACCAATTAATAATAATAGTAATCTCAGGACAATTCATACAGCTTCATCTAGACCCAAGTTAAGCTAGCTGAAGATTATGTTATGGGTACTGATATAAATACAAAGATTTTTTTCGTAAATACATATATATTATCTATACATAGAAAACACCCAGACCGTTACAAACAATTTAATAATAAGTTAATAGTTTAATAAGTACGTACGTAATATTATCACAAAAAAGATGTTTTTTTATCAAATAAACAGTTTTTATTAAAAACAAGCTGTCCCCGCGACTTCGTCCGCGTGGAATTAAATTTATTTTTCTAAAATAAAAGTAGCCTAAGTTACTCCTTATAAATCAGCTATCTGCCAAAAAAAGTACCGTCAAAATCGGTCCAGCCATTTCAGAGATTAGCCGGAACAAACAGACCGACAGACAGACAGACAAAAATTATAAAAATTGTTATTTTGGTATATGTACCTTATATATATTCATATGCATGTAGTAAAAAACGGTTTTTTCTATATTACAAACAGACACTCCAATTTTTATTAAATGTATAGATTATTATTTATTTATTTATTTATTCATCCAAAATAATACAAATTGTGTAGGATAACGTAATAGTAACATTACAGTAAAATTTTGTCAACAACATAATAGCAACTTAAACATTAAATCTCGGTATATCTATAGACTAGCTGGCCCCAGCGACTTCGTCCGCGTGAAATTTTATTTTATTTTTCTAAAATAACAGTAGCGTAAGTTACTCCTTATTACATCAGCTACTTGCCAAAAAAAGTCCCGTCAAAATCGGTCCAGCTATTTCAGAGATTAGCCGGAACAAACAGACAGATAGACAGACAAAACTTGTAAAATATGTTATTTTGGTGTATGTACCGTATTTATATTCATATGCAAGTAGTAAAAAACGGTTATTTCAATATTACAAACAGACACTCCAATTTTATTTACATGTATAGATGTATAGATTAAAAAAAAAGTAACAGTCATAAGGCTAGTCGTATGCCTAATATATATAATAATGTAATAAATTCATTTAAACAGAAATTGCGGGAACATTATTTAAATTTGTAACTTTTTTACTGTCCTTCTCCTTTTTTCACATCTTTCTGTTATATCCATATAGTTCTCTCTATATTTTCTGATTTTCTTACTTTCAATTTGAGACTGTACTTATAATTTGATTATCGGATCATTATGTATTTACTTATATATAATATTTATACATTTATGGGTTATATTTAGATATATATTTATGTATGTATATTGTTATTTTTTTATAGAAATGTATATTTTGCTTATCTTTATTATCTTTATAAATCTTTTTTTGACATTTCTTATTTATATTAGTGCACCGCCAATAATCTTTCGCTGCACCACTCATGGTTGCCTGGTAAATAACGCGGCAAAATATTAAGTCCGCCACATGTACAAATTTTTTTGTGCATTAAAGTTAAAGAAATAAAAAAATACAATACTGTTTAATGAAAATGCGTGTTGTCTAGTGCTTTGAGATGTATCAAAATAAGGTCAACAAAAAAGTCCGTGATGGTATATGTCTATCTCTTAAGGATAACCAACAATAACCATTTTTTATCTTTTACATTTTACGGGATTTTTTTTTATCGTATGTTTCCCTTAAAATCATGTAAACTATGTTATTATGTCATAATCTAAAGAAATAATAATATTTTATAGTGACATATCCACTATAAAATACCAAAAAGTAGCAATGTAATTCGTTACGCGCGAATCAGGTGTTATAAGGTCAAAGGTCGGTGCACCCCGCGTATTTGATAAATAGTGCTTCTCTGGATGTCTTTAAGAGAAAACGGCAGTATGCACGTGTATATGTACAAGTCCTTAGTGTTAAGTTTTTCAAATGTACATACAGTAAAGAATAAATATTTTTAAGTACAGTACTTACGTACATTAATATAATACCTACTTTTTACTTGTATCTATTGTTATCAAAATTAAATTATAAGTTCTTAACTTGACCACGACTATGTGACCCTCTCTTGGCGCCAAAACGAGTGAAAAAATGAACAGCATACGACGACGACGCAGTACCTGTAGAGTGGAGCAACTGCTTATTCAGTTTTATTCAACTATTTAGTCCCTCCACCGTTACAATGAATGGAGGCGGATATTACAATGTACGTAGCATTGCGAATATAAAATATCTAGATTAGGTATAATAAATTCATAATTCATAGGCCGTTACGGTATCAGAGCCAAAGTCTTCTTTCTTTGTTTATGTACTGTTAGATGCGACAGCGACTTTGTTTTTATATTACAATGTAATGATTGATATACCTAAAATAAATAAAATATCTGAGGTTTGGACAAAAATTCAAAAGGTACTTAATTTTTAAAAAGTATTTTGAAAATACCTATTTTGCATTTAGTATTTGAAATACAAAACACAAAACTATTTTTGTTTTTAGAGTGACATTTCTATGAATTCACTGTCGATAGCGAGCGGTGCGATGGAAAAAGATAACCGTTTATAAAAATATAATAAATAACCCTGGACAATTAACACAGACTGATACAGAACTGATATAAATAGATATTTTTATTTTGTAAATACATATAAAACACCCAGACCGATGAAAACAATCGATGACCGATGAGTACAAATGTTTGCATCGTGCGAGAAATCGAACCCGCGACCATCGGATGTAAAGCGGTGTGACCACCGAGGCAGTCGAAATATATAAATAATCTTATGAATTTAATTTATTCTAATTTGTTTATGTGCGCGGGGTGCGGTGTACGGTGCTCCCCCTGCCTCCACCGTTGCTGGAGCTTGCATGTATGGAGCATTGCGAATATAAAATATCTAGATTAGTAAATTCATAATTGATAGACCGTTACGGTATCTATATATATTCGGATTAAAATAAGTATCGCAGTAAGGACCAGTATATAAAGTGATCAACACAATTAACTGATTTTTGAAATATATATACAGAGCCAAAAAGTCTTTGTGTATTCAAAAAATATCTAATTTGTTTGTGTGCGCGGGGTGCGGTGTACGGTGCAGGGGGGACCCTGCCTCCACCGTTGCTGGAGCTTGCATGTATGGAGCATTGCGAATATAAAATATCTACATTAGTAAATTAATAAAGTCATAATTGATAGACCGTTACGGTATCTATATATATTCGGATGAAAGTAAGTATCGCAGTAAGGACGAGTATATAAAGTGATCAACATAATTAATTGATTTTTGGAATATATTCAGAGCCAAAAAGTCTTTGTGTATACCAAAAATTTAGCCGTTCGGAGCCATTCAGTCACGAATTATTAGTAAAAAAAGTGTCGAGTATATCGTACTATCGACGAATATATATGGCCGCATCGCAAAATAGAATGCGACGTTGCCATACCGCCTGAGATATACGCGATAGAGGTGAAGTTATTCAGTGCAAAAGGTGGAATCAGCAAGTGTTTAGGTTGTGGCGTGATCAACAAAGTGCCCAAAGAGGTGTTTATATATATATATACATATATACCTGTAACATCTATGAAAAACCCCATGCTGTCTCTCGAGGAAGCCTCGGCAGGTAATTAATTCCACAATGTGTATGGTAATGCGATGGTAAAAGGTATGTGTTTGTTTTATTCCCTCTCTGATCGATCCCCCATCCAATTTAAACGGGGATCGATATTACCACGGCCTGAGCTGAGGTTCGAACCCCAAGCGGTGTCCTCAGAGTAAAGTCGTATCCGCCAGGCGGGTGTTAGCCTTCAGCCGCTCCATAAGTCCTTCCTTTGGTTTGGAGTGCCATCTGCACTCGCGCCCTAACGTCCGGTGAAGCTGTAAAGGCCAGCTGCGGCCAACAGCATTAGAGTAGTCCGAAAAAATGTCGATTCGCAAAGAAAAGCAGACTTATGATAACGTCTGCTTTTTGTAATATAAAGTTTATCTCGGTAGTTAAAAAAAGCGCAATCTTAATGTACACAAGTTTATCCTTTATTTGCAATGTAATATGTTGACACACAATAAATGCATTCATAAAAGTCAGCGATAAATTTGAATTACAATTTACTGTAACAATGGCCTCTTGTACTGTTTGTTATCATCAGTAATTGGTCACAAATATATATTTTATTCTATTTACGTGGATGACATATCGTACAGTTTTTATTTTATTTAAATTGTTAAATACATGACTTTATTTTTATGTGTTGGCAACTGACCGCAGCGAATTCTTCCTATAATATTACTTTCATTTTCAAATTCAGAACGCAACTTTTTATTAGAATATAAAAGGAAGTCTCCTAAATTTAAAACATTCTTTTATATTTTTAAATTTTAACGCAACTTTTTATTACAATATAAAATAAAGTGTTCTAAATTTAAAAATATCATATTGTTTTTAATATCATTGTTGCTTCTCTGTAGTTCAGAGCTGCACAACGTAGTATAAAAAAAAGAATTGAAATCTATGTAGGTATTTTCCTCATAAACCTACCTAGATACAGTCCATCGATTCGATATTTTATTTGAATAAACATTTATTTTGAAGTATAGTTATAGTATTTGTTTATGATATTTTTTTAATTGAAAATAAGATGACGACACCTGATGGTAAGTGATAACAGTCTCAGCCTACATATATACACGAACAGTACTACGGATATAACATTATTATATGCTATCCTTGATATCATAATATATATTAAGAAAATTGAATTCCACTCACCCATTAGCCCCAACTGAGGTCTCCTTCGCAGTTACACCATTAAAATGCACTCTGACCTCCACCTCACCGTCCATAAGATAGTCAGTCATCACAAAATTCACTATTTCCTTATTCAAATGACGTCTTAAATATTTAATATCACTCAACACCTGTCTCTCACTATTATCCAAACTGCGATTTGAATTTGGAACTACATGTGTGTGATGGTGCCTGAATTTTAAATGTTCGGGATTGTCTATGGTTTTGGCGTTCGAATTATTTGAATTTGGAACGCCGTCGGCCAGTTCGTCAGTTGGCTCGCCTACGTCGCAGTTGGTGGTGCCCAGCAACAGTAACATCAGTAATGGCACCCGGTACATCTTGCCCCACGACAGTAGTCTTGAAACATTTGACTTTTTTTTTGCCCTCGGCGATTTTATCTCCATAACTTATCTGGAAAGATACATTAATAGGTTAATTAAATTTGTTGTTTTCTTAACTTACAGTTACTAATATATGAAGGCCTCGGTGGTCTAACGGTTTAGCACACCTTACTTCCGATGGTCGCGGGTTCGATTCCCGCACGGCACAAACATTTGTATTCATGAGTATGATATATACATAGAAAACACCCAGGCCGATACAAACAGTATCGGCCTGGGTGTTTTCTATGTACCAACACCCAGGCCGATACTGTTTGTATCGGCCTGGGTGTTTTCTATGTATAATATATGTGTATTTACGAAAAAATATAACTTATGTATTTGTATCAGTTATCCATACCCATAACACAAGCTCTAGCTAGCTTAACTCGGGTCTAGATGGCGCTATGTGAATTGTGATTAAAATTAATATTAAATATTATACTAATATACTTTATGTTGCAAATAAAGTATATTTTATCTATCTATCTATCTAAGGAGTACTAGACAAGTGATAGTTTTGATTAAATGTTTATCTAACATATATTATATACTTGTTTAATACATTTATTCATGTTGTTGAATAATATAATCATAACCTTAGATAGTACAACATGAAGTCATGACGTTGCTTCCACTGTCTGTTTGCTTATATCTTTTAAACTTTTTGTATAATACATGTACACCCGGGCGAAGCCGGGGCGGATAGCTTGTAATATATATAATAAGTTCTAGACAACTGATAGAATTAAATATATTTTTTGTAGCGTGTCAGAAATCGAACATGCGACTACCCTTATGAGAATTGAACCAAAATTGTATCTAGGTAACCACCTGTGTGTAATATTATGTTATCTGTGATATAGGTAACCACCTATATCACAGATAACATAATATTACATACCTATATATACAATTTTGGTTAACCTCAATAACTATCTCAATATATGTACATATATATAATACTAGCTGTACTCGCGACTTCATCCGCGTGGAATTTAACTTTATTTTTCAAAAATAAGAGTAGCCTAAGTTACTCCTTATTAAATTAGCTACCTGCCAAAAAAAAGTCCCGTCAAAATCGGTCCAGCCATTTCAGAGATTAGCCGGAACCAACAGACAGACAGACGGACAAAAATTGTAAATATGTTATTTTGGTGTATGTACCATATTTATATTCGCATGTAGTAAAAAACTGTTATTTCAATATTACAAACAGACACACCAATATTGTTTATATGTATAGATGTATAGTAATATAGATTTATACTGATTCTACTAGACGGCCTGTCTCGTAAAAGCAGTGTATTATTTTTATAAATAATAGTTTTTTTTCTGCCGTACCTAAAGTAGTAAATTTGACACAGAATGCATGAATTAACAAAAAGTGTTCATATAAAACATTAAATAATCTTTATTGCACTTAAATACCTTTGTAAGTATATTTATTACAACTAATGTTAACAAACATTCTCATATATATTAATATATGTATATCATCTTTCATATAAAATATTTTTATAATAATAATCACAATATTACTTAAAATATAATAATTAGTTCAGATTGCTTGAGTCAGAAATCAACCTGTTGAAATTATTAATATGCTTACTATATAATACCATAGTGCTGACCATAAACAAATTATATCACCATAAAATTTTTCCTTTTTTTTATTGTCAATCAGCATATTAAATAATATAACTAGAGCTACAAATATTTTGTTTAAATAAGACATCGAACCCAAAATAATAAAATGCATTAACTTGAATATAAAAATAATTAAAATTCGACTTTAAAGAAGACACATTAAAGTCGAAATTTCAATATATGTCAGTTATGAGTTAATGCAGTTTAATATTTAGCGCGCGGTATATTGTATGTCTATGTTAGGGTTGCCACCTATTTTTAAAGTAATATATATATCTCACTTTTTTATGTAATCAATTTTGGGAAATTTTAGGAAAAACTAGAAACGCAACATTTATTTTTCGTTTGTCATTTTATTGAGTTAATATTATTACTTTTTTATAATGACAAAATTGTGGAACATAGATCCGCGTCGTTAATTACGTTCTGATATAGTCCACATAAAACACCAAGATCAAAGTTGTTGGCCATCAGCCGCTCCATAAGTCCTTCCTTTGGTTTGAAGTGCCATCTGCACTCGCCTCCTATCGTCCAGTGAAGCTGTAAAGGCCAGCTGCGGCCAACAGCATTAGAGTAGTATGAAAAAGCACTTTTTTTAAAACTATTCTAATCGCCTAACGGATACGTCTTGAATCTGATGGCACCGCTAGATTCGAACCTCGGCTCAGGCCGTCGTAATTTCGATCCCCGTTTAAATTGGACGGGGGATCGATCGGAGGGTATTAAAATACACTACGGGTGGTAACCCTACGATGTATACATAATTATTGTGTATATATGCGCACGTTGACGATCTCATTTCGCTTTCTGGACAAACTTCTCATGTTACGACGAGATTGAGTTCATAATTTAACTAGCTGACCCACACAACTTCGTCTGCGTCGTATTTTTCCCGACTGACCAATAAATATAAATAAATAACTCCTGGACAGTAAACACAGCGCCATCTAGTCTTATGGTAAGCAGAGCTTGTGTTATGGGTAACGGTATAAATAAGGGTTTTTTTAAATACATAATATACATAGAAAACACCCAGACCGATACAAACAATCATACCTAAATGCCTATACCTTTCCTCGATAAATGGTATTTAACACTGCTAGAATTTACGGAATCGAATTAGTAATCCCGAAGATTTTGCCGAACATCCAAACTTACAAACTTTACCTCTTTATGCATATATATCGACTAGCTTTTGTCCACGGCTTCGATCGCGTTAATCTATCCCCTTAGGGTTGGAATTTATCAAAATCCTTTCTTAGGGGATGCCTACGTTATAGTAGCTGTATGTATGCAAAATCTCAGCCCGATCGGTTTAAAATTGACAAAATTCATACTAACTTTCAACCCCTATTTTATCCCTTTGGAATTAATCAAAATCCTTTCTTAGCGGATGCCTACGTCATAACATCTACCTGCATACCAAATTTCAGCCCGATCCGTCCAGTGGTTTGGGCTGTGCGTTGATAGATCACTATGTCAGTCACCTTTGAGTTATATATATTTAGATATAGAAAGTTTTAACATATATACAAATATGTAATATATATAAATTTAAACAAATATTACAGCTGCTTTCTTTTCCTAATATTTATCTTCTTTTATTACTTAGTAGCTATAAAACAAAGTCCATAGCTTCCCTGCTGTTCTGAACAGCAGAGAAGCTATGGACCAGAATCACACAAGACAGAACAGAGTGGAAAAGATTAGAGGAGACCTTTACTTGGAAGCAAGAAGATGACGAACTAGATATAGTATAAAAAGCAAAAAAAAACTTCAATAAAAAAGTCTGAATAAAGGGCTATAATCAAAAACAAAACAATAATAAAACAACATAAAAAGACTTAAGTATATCTTTTAAATTACGCAACGGATTTTAATGCAATTTTCAGCAATAGATAGAGTGATTCAAGAGTAAGTTTATATGTAATACATGCAATAAATACATGCGTTTTATAGTACAAAACAATCAGAGAAAATCCGAGCAGAAACATGGCGGGTCGCTAGTTATAATAATATAACTAAAAATTTGAATACTGTTTTAAACTTGACGCGGTCATTACTTATACGTATAATTAGTAAAAATCACGGGATCTTACCACGTTTTATATTTATTTGCTGAGTTCCCGATATTTCGGTAGTGTTTCAACCACCATGATCACGGGTAAACAGTTTACCCGTGATCATGGTGGTTGAAACACTACCTATCCGTGGTAAGATCCCGTGATTTTTACTAATTATACGTATAAAAATTTGAAGTACTAAAACCCGAGTAAAATGAATCTAATAAATTGTAGGTAAGAAAACTCGAAACAAGACAACCGCATCAAAATTAGTTCATTTGTTTAGTTCGTATTGATCTGAGTGTTTATTATGTATGTATTAAAAAAAAATGTATATCAGTTATCTGTTTGCTATTCCAGGTAAATAAAATAAAAATTGTTGAAGTTGAATAAAAAAAAACTAGCAATGATAGTAAACATATTGTTGACTATATAATAAACCAGGCTAAGGTCGTTTCTCCAAACTGATTCTAAGGCTTTCCACACACATGGCAACACTTCAGTATCGGCAATCAATTAATCGCCACTGACTATAACAAATTATAAAAAATAAAATTATAAAGATACCCACTGACCAATTTACGTATATAGACATTAATCGTCCAATGGGTTTCTATAATAAATATAATAATAATAATAATGATGATAATAATAGCCGTGAAAGCCGAAACTGAGAAAAAGAGAAAGTATCTCGACCTGGCTCACGAGGTGACCGAAATGTGGGGGGTGATGTCCACCGAAATCATTCCAATCGTTATGTCGGTGAACGGTCTTATCCCAACCAGTCTGGAACAACATCTCAGACTGTTGGGATTCCGGGGCGGCTCACTCCCGGGAAAGATGCAGAAAGCGGTGCTCTTAAATTCTGCCCGCATTGTACGCCGGTTTCTCTCCCTGGGGCCCTGAACCCCGGCCGATTGTGCTTCTGCAGGGGGTATGTTGCCATCTCCTCTCCTTAAGAGGGGAGATGAGAATTTTTGGATAATAATAATAATAATAAAATAGTTTGTAAACAATAAATATGAATTCTAATAGAAAGAAAGAAAGAAAGAAAGAAAAAACATATCTCTTACAAAAAGCCACAATGTTGAATACCTGTCTCATTACAAGAACATTTCTAACTACCTCAATAATAACATTTTCACACAGCGCAACTTCTCACACCCGTGTGAGTGAGTATTACTTTTTTGAAACTTGATAGAAGAAGGGAAAGAAAAGATACATAATAATTATAAATATATATCATTACATAGTATAAAACAAAGTCGCTGTCGCTGTCTGTCCGTCTTTATGTATGCTTAAATCTTTAAAACTACGC